GGGGAGCGCCGTTCCGGGGGCTGACACCCCTTCCGCGGTTTTATTTTTCCGAATGCGGTTTCGAAGCGACATGGGGAGTAATGAGAGGAAATCATTGTGCTCATTGTTGGACAAGCAGCGTCCACCGGCAATGTGCGCAGCAGATGTGAGCGGGGCCATCTCTAGCACGATTGTGGAGACCGGGGTCCAGCCCAGCGTGTTTAAGGGAAGTGAGCAGGGGCTGGCACCACCCCGGGTGACCTTGGCTGGACAGTAAGAGTGTGGGGTGGTGGGGTGGCCTCCCTGCCGCTGGGCTCTCCAGAGAAGAAGGCAGGCTGACACTAATTCCCCAGATTCACACGGCATCCCAGGCTGGGTTTACTAAATACTTCAAAAACATTAAACTTTTGACAAAGCAAAAGCCACTTGGAGGCCTCATGGAGACAAGAGGAGGCTTCTTTGGTTCATAAGGCCTGTCCCCTTGACCTCAGTAAAACCCACTTCCTGTCTCCTTTTTTTTGTTGTTGTTGTTGTCCTGGGGACTGAACCCAGGGTGCTTCCCACTGCCACGTCCCCAGCCCTTTTGATATTTTATTTAGAGACAGGGTCTCACTAAATTGCTCAAGGCCTCACTAATTTGCTGAGGCTGGCTTTGAACTTGCCATCCTCCTGCCTCAGCCTCCCCAGCCACTGGGATGACAGGCGTGTGCCACGGCGACCAGCTGCATGTCTCCTTTCATTGCCAAAGCCCACCACCTCTCCTCCTGGCCCCCTGCCCACTAAACAGCTCCCCTTCCTCTGTGTCCTCCTTGCACTTGGGTTTTGGGTCAAGGTCGCATTATCTCTGGTCTAAGGCTTCTGCCAGGGGTCAAGGTCATGTTCTTTCTGCCTGTGAGAAGCCAGCAGCTTCCTCCAGCCCATAGTCTCAGCTAAACTCCACAGCACCAGGCATGGGAGCTGGACCCCGTCCCCGCCCTCGTTTTATTTGGCTCACCAAGTGTTGGCACCCAAGATAACATTTTTTTTAAAAATCGGATTCATTTGCTAACATTTTAAAATCAGACACTTTCACATAAAAATTCTGGTTTTCCAGTCGGGCAACACAAACACTACATTTCTACAAGGCCCTAATCAGCTGGAGTGGAGTGGCAGGTGGTCCCTTGAGATGAGACTGCATTTTGCTACAGTCCCCACCGAGCCCTATAGTCTCCTTACATTATAAGGTTCAGTGTATCATATTCATGGAGCTCTCACTATTAATTTACTTGCAGAAGGATTAACAGACCATCAAATTGGTCTTGTTTCTGTCCAAGTCTCCCCCCCACCCCCGCCCCTGTAGCAGGGATGGAACTCAGGGGCACCTGACCACTGAGCCGCATCCTCTATTTTGTGTTTTATTTAGAGGCAGGGTCTCGCTGAGTTGCTTAGCACCTCACTAAGTGGCTGAGGCTGGCTTTGAACTCACGATCCTCCTGCCTCCACCTCCCGGACCACTAGGATCACATGCTTGCACCACCGCGCCTGGCGCCCCCCCCCCTCTCTCTTTTGATAGTCTAGAATCAAAGGGTCAAAATGGTGTCGTCACAAAAATAAAAGCTGGCCCTTACCTGGGGTATCTGTTAATTCATCCCACGGGCTGATTTATGTAATGCTCAGAGTCCTGGTAATAATAATAGACACTCTCTTCTCCTCATTCTCGTTGTCATTCCACCGTGGAGAAGGGGATACGAAGACACGGAGCAGTTAGGGTGAGCCCAAAGCCACCGTGCGTCTCAAGGGCAACCGGAGGGGCTTCTCTGTTGAAATAAGACCTGTCCTACCCGATACCCCGTTCAGCACCTTCCCCTGGTTCCCAGGATCGTTCTCCACCCTGAATCCCGTCCCCGGCCCCTGGAGATGGGTCTCCAGGGATCATGATGGGCCTTTTCTTTGGTCCTGGATCAGACTCACCAACAGGAGGCCCGGAGAGGAGGCAGTAATGAGAGCCAGCCGGAGTGCACCTTCCCCGCTCCCTGCCTGGGCTGTCACTCAGCGTCAACAGGTGGGCACTGCCAGGGCCCGAGCTCCCATCTCTGCATGGACTCAACCCTCTTCATAAGGCCTCTTTCAGCCTGGGGGAGTCAGGACCACCCACCCTTAGAGGCTGGCAGCCTCTAAGTCCCAACCATTCCTTGTTGGCTTCCTGCTGCTCTGTTCCTTCCCCCCCCCCAGGCCCAGCCTCCGTCAACAATTCCTTGATTCACGTCCCCGCAGGGGTCCCCAGGAAGGTACCTTCTCTTTCCCGCCAGGACCCTCTCATCCGTCTTTCATCTGTGCCCGACGTACTTGAGTTTGCAGCCCTGGACTAACCCTGAATCTCACAGAGGACACGACAGGAGTCCAGGAAGCTCCTCTGTGGTTCCCACGGAGCTCAGTCTCGTTCCCTTTTCACCTGCGCATTGGCGAGATCATCTTTGGCTCAAAAAGAGAGCCAGTGAGCTCGGAGCCCTGGAGTGGAGGTCATCCCAAATTCCCTCCTCCAGGGTCACAATGCCCAGTGGCCAGCTGAGCCTTTCGTCAGAGGCAAGTGTGCGAGGGCCTGCTGGGCCCAGAGGAGAAGGCTGCCCGGGACAGAGGTGACTGTCCCCATCTCCCTCTTCTGCTCTGTCTCCCCCTCAGCACCCATCTCCACACCCTTGCAGCCAGGGGCACATCCCTCTCCCCCAAATAACTGCCTGAGCGCCTCTATGGTATAAATGTCTGTTTCTCAATAAACTTCATTTAAACATCCTCTGGGTGGGAAAAATCAATCAATAACAGAAAGATCACTCAGGTTCATAAACAACGTTATTTAGCATCAATAGCCCCTGTCAGGCCCATCAGGTCACGCGGCATTGCTAGAGAAGCGCGTTTCTGGATAATCCCAGAGGCTCAGGCCAGGAGGTACCCACCAGTCTCTGCGAGTTCGATTTAACCCCACCTTCAAGCGGTCAATGAGCTCTGAATTGTGCAGGAAGCCCCTTAGATATGAAAGTCAGCCTCAGCCAGAAGCAAGGTGAGAACTTGATCCTCCTTATTCTTGAGCCCATGTTTGCTTAGAACTTGCTCAGTGCACAGCCTGGACCTGGGTCCTGGAGTTACCAAGATCCAATGAGATGCACCCTCTGACTCTCAAAGGGTCCACAGTCCTTTGAGCACCCACACTCTGAAACCCTGCTTGGATGGCGTTTCCAACGTGCAAGGAATCACAGGCACAAGATGACCGCCTGTGATGTGGAGATTAAACAAGGCCTGGATCATACGCAGACAGAGATGAGGACCCCAGCCTGCCTAGGGAGCCCCAAGCAGTTCCATACTGCCGGTCGCCCGGAGTTCTAGAGAGCGACATCCAGTCCTGCATCCTATTTAGAACTTGAACTTCCTGAGGATGAGAGTCCTCTTTGACATGTTTATATGATAATGTCCGACACACAGTATGTCCAAACATCTGTTGATGTTCGAGAGCAGACATTCAGATGAGGAAGGAAATGCTCAACAGCACAGGCCCAGTTCCCCAGGGGCTCAAAGACAGAGGGAGGCGGTGACAGGTAAGGAAATGGACAGTCGTCCCACACAGCAGCATCGGCCTCTCAGCTGAGATCAGAGGAGCAGGGGACCAGACGGGGCTCTCAAGATGGAGATGACAGCATACACCAGGGCTTTGAGGTGAGACAGATGGCGTGCACAGCCAGAAATCGCAGGCATCATGGAGAAAGGGCATCTGTCAAACAGGAACGCAGAAAATAAATAAGACCAAGATCGGCGGTAAAAGTCCAATCACCACTTGAGGGTAACCCCAGCAGCCAAGTCCAGAGATGGGCCCGGGCCTCCCAGGGGCTCCCTCTTAATGAGGATTCATCTCCTGCATCAATTGTGCAGCCCCTGAGCTTTGAAGGTGCTCAGTTTCCAATCCCAGATGTGGGTACCCACCTTATCCCCAATCCACAGATGAAACAAACGGAGGTTCTCAGGCGCCAAGTGGCTCCCGGTACAAGAACACAGGGCTAAGTCACCCAGGTGCTGAGGCTGGAGGCCAGGACCAGGACAGCACTGGGCACATCTCATAGCTAGACAGGGCAGGAGAGGACCAAGGAGAATCACTAGGGATAGGTCTTCCTGGCTCATGGATGCAGACAGGCCAGGGTGATTGAAGTGACATGAGGGTGGGACGAGGAACAAAGCCCTCATTCTCTACTACCTGGTGGTTACCATGGAGACCGACCAAGGTGATGGAACTCGGGATCAGAGGCTCTGCTTTCCTCTTCCACTGCTGCAAGGGACCAGTGGTGGTAGCCAGTGGACAACCAAAGGACCCCATTAGCTGACCCGTTAAGAGACGACTTTTTAGCATAAGCTGGGGGATGAAGCAGGGTCCAAGGGGAAATATTGGTGCCTCTAATGATTATTTTTATTACCTTTATTTTTTTTAAAAGCATCCTCTCAAATACTCAAACAATGGCTACAGGACTGATGTACACTAAAAGTAAAATGCTCCTTCTCCTAATTGGATCTAATGATTGACCTTGTTCAAACAACACTCAAAAGAAATGGAAAGCCTCAGTTGCCCTTGGAGAGCAGAGTTGGGAGGTTGTGGACAGAAGGAGGAGGAATTCTTCCCTGTGTGTCTTTTGGATTCATAGATTTATTTTTTTTTAATTGAAAAAAAGTGCAAATACATTTCAAACTCAAATATGAAATGTAAATCTTTTTTTGCAGAAGGGGGTGGGGTGGGTACCAGGGATTGAACTCAGAGGCACTGGACCACTGAGCTCCATCCCCAGCCCTATTTTGTATTTTATTTAGAGACAGGGTCTCACTGAGATGCTTCAGGCCTCAGTTTTGCCGAGGCTGGCTTTGAACTCACGATCCTCCTGCCTCAGCCTCCCAAGCAGCTGGGATTACAAGCATGCGCCAGGGTGCCCAGCATGAACCTTATTTTTTTCAAACTAAAACAAACAAAAAACAACTTTTAAACCTGTGGTTATATACCCTAAAGACCTTTTTCTCTTTGCATAAAGAAGCATGGATAGATAAAGTACATGATTGTTAAACAAAGATGAGATTGTTGGAGGAAATTGTAAATATTTTTTAAAGGTTTCATAGACTTCTTTGATCTGGGGACAGACACATATAGGTCCCTGCCCGGCTGTACAGAGAGGATTGGAAATTTCACTCTTCCAGGCTTCCACTTCCACCTGCCACCCCCAATCTGAAACGGAGCAGGAAAGCTCAGCAGGAGGCTGACTCAGAGCTAGAACATTTGACGGCCCAGTCTGGCAGGCCCTAGAACCCCAGGGAGACCCTCCAGCACTCTTGAATCAGACTCCCTGGACCCACATCTGGACTCTGCCCAGTATCCTTGTGGACTCTTGAGCTAAATCTCAAGCCCTGCTCTCTGAAAAGAGCCCCAGGCTGTGTCTACTCCATGGGGTGGGTGTCCTCTGAGAAATAAATGATAAAAAAATCATATTCATTCCCCCCTCAGTAATTACCAAAGACCTTCCTCAGATCCCAAAGTCCTTGGATGTCCAAATCCCTGATATAAAATGGCAAGTGCTTGCACAGAACCTCTGCACATCCTCCTGTGCACCTTAAATAGTCCCTAGATGGCTTCCCATATCCAATACAATGGAAATGCTGTGTACATATCCGTTACTCTGTATTGCTCCGGGATAATGGCAAGAGAAGAACCGTGTGGGCATGTCCCATACAGATGCATTTTTATAAAATATTTTCAACCTGCAATGCCTGAATCCTAGAATGCCCACCAGGACACCCAGCCACTGCCTGGCATCAGGTGCCCGAGTGCCCAGAAGAAAACCCATGTCAGCACCATTATCAGCATCCCATTATCACTCCCTCTAGAACAACTCTTAGGCCCCTTCCCTCCAGCCACTGAACTCATCCCATACTAACTAAGCACCTAATGTGTACCCCGGGGTGTGGGGTCCACCCTGACCAAAGAGGAAAAGTTCCTATCAAAAGGGAACCGCAGCCAGTTTTGGCTCCAACCCGGAGCCCAGGCCTTTCCAAAGAGAAAGTAAAATAAGGGGAGGGGGTTCTTAACTCGAGTCCAAAGTCACTGAGAGGCTACAAAATGTTAGGACCCTGTGTTTGTTTCCAGGGCTCTGGGCGATGTGCCCAAAGGGGGACATTTCAAGAGAAACTTTAAGGTAGATCTGAGAAAGAATTCTAGCAGACATGGTGCCTCTACCTGCTTCTAAACTAATGGCCTACTGTGGGGAAAACCCCCAGTGGGGGTCCAGGCTGAAGTTACACCATCATAATGATATTAGCTACTAATAATTCAAGGTTTGCTCTGTGCCGGGCTCTGGCCTTAAGAGCTTTCTATGCATCATCTCATTTAATCTTCACAACCACCCAAACAAAGCACGAGAAGGATCATGATCCACAGTGTGCAGACGAGCTCTCTGTGGCTCAGAGAGGTTAGGGGGCTTGACCCAGGTCACACAGCTGGTAACCAACCAGGCAAGCTTATGCTTTAGAGCTTCCTGCCACCCACAAACCAAATAGCAACGACTCTTCACACTTGAACAGAATGGACCTCCCCAAGAGGCACTGAAACCTGTGATTCCCTTATTTATGCCCCCACCCCATCAAAACTTCCACAAAAACACTTGCAGAACTCGTCGAGAGACCAGAGGTCAACAGAGAAAGCCTAGTGGTCAGCTCCCCTCTGGGTGCTCAGGGTCTGTGCACTCAGGCCAGGACACAGGGGCACAGAAACCTGAATCCTTCAGCACAGGGCGGTGGGAGACAATGGATGACATTGTAGCCTGAGGCGGCTGAACCTGAGAACCCTGGGGACCTGGCCACATCTCTCTAATCGGATCCGAAAAGGCGCATTCCTTCGGTCCCCCCAGGTTGCCGCGAATTCCTCGGGCTTATTAAGCAGGTAAGACCCGTCTTTTTTGATATGAAAACAACAGGCTGTGTGCCCGGGCTGGGCTGAGACCTAACAGAAAATAAAAAGTCAGCAACGCAAAGCCTATCACCTCGAACGCACATCTGGAAAGCATTTTCTATTGATATAAAAATGGATGTGTGTATAATACATATGTGTATTTATGAATCTGCTGTATTAATCACAAAGGCCACGGGAGAAAGGGCCATTCTTACCCCCAAGCCGCCCCCGTGATGAGTTTTCTGGATGACTTTGGAGTTTACTTATTCCGATCGAAGCCAAAAACTGGGCGAGGGACCGTTCCTGCACACACCCGCACCTCCACCAACCGCGGTTTCCGAAACCCCAACAAAGCCAAGGTCTGTTTCTTTTCCCCTAGTGCCGTGGAGCAGATGCATCCAAAAACAGAAGATTCTAGCCTGTTCTACAAGAGCTCTGGCTCCACTGAAAACCAGATTTCTTCCAAAAAAAAAAAACAAGCTGGAGATATGGCTCAGTCGCTAGAGTGCTTGCGTCACCTGTACAAGGTCCTGGGTTCAATTCCCAGCACCAAAATAGAAAAAAACATTCTTTGTGTAAGAGAGCTAGTTGGTTTGCATGGCTTCATTATGGCAGGAATTAGCCTGAGAAGACGGTGGTGGGAAATCAAGGGTTGGCCGTGAAGTTGGAAGTCACACAAAGTCACTGCAAAGCTCCTGCAGGCCCCATGATCTAGGTGATGGGTGACGGAGTGTAGCGGGGTCTGCTCTCCCAGAGAATCATGTGCCATGACAAGAACATCATCTTTCAGATGGTCATAAAATATACCATGTGACACCTGAGAAATTCTGCTTGGCGGAGGCAAGGTGTCCTTCAGGACTGTCTCAGGCCAGGCGTGGTGGCACACGCCTGTAATCTCAACCTCTCAGGAGGCTGAGGCTGGAGGATTGCAAATTCAAGGCCAGCCTCAGCCACTTAACAAGGCCCTAAGCAACTTGTTAAGATGCTGTCTCAAAATAAAATATTTTAAAAAGGACTGGGGATGTGGCTCAGTGGTTAAGTGCCCCTGCATTCAACTCCCTGGTACCAAAAACAAAAACAACAACAAAAAAATGAACTGAAATTCAGTGGAGTTACTTGGAATGTTCAATTCTCCAACAGCATGCTCTGGGGTGGAACTAAGTATGACCACCGTGAAAATACCTGAAATTCACTCCGGGATTGTGGAAGAAGCAAGCAGGTAAGACCTTATAGAGATAGGCAATTGTTCTTCAGTGTAATAAAGATGATTGAGCCATGCATGGTGGCACACTCTTACAAACCCAGAGACTCAGGAGGCTGAGGCAGGAGGATTGCAAGTTTAAGGCTAGCCTCAGCAATTTAGCAAGACCCTGTCTTAAAATTTAAAAAGATAAATTAAAAGGCTGGGGATGTTGCTTAGTTGTAAACTGTCCCAGTTTCACAATAAATAAATAAATAAATAAATAAATAAACAAACAAACAGACAATGTAATGTATGGAGATGCCATGTAACCAGACACGTCTACATATCATGAATAAAGCAAAATCATAGCCACAAATAATCATGGATTTTTTTTTTTAAATCAAACTTCTCCTGTAAATATTTGGCATGTTTGGGTGAAGCACAGCAAGTAGTTATTTAAAGAAAGCTTGTTATATTAGTCAGGATGGGCCAGGGTTTGCTACAGTAACAAACAATCCCAACACAATTGTAGATTAAATTAACAAATTTTTATGTCTTCCTTTCCACGCATTCTGTTTTGGAACTAGCTCTGGATTCTGCTTGGCACTGTCTTCATTCAGAGACATGGGCTGAGAATGAGAAGTCAGTATTGGGAATGTGGTGGGTCACTATAGCAAAGGAGAATAGAGAGTACCATCAAATGTACAGCTCTTCAAGTTTTCATTCAGGAATAAGTCACATCCCACTCACCTTTCACAGCCCATGTCAACCACACCGGCACTTTCAAGAACTGGGAAAGAGGGGAAATGGGAAGTTTTGAGTGAACATTGCTAATCTTACAAAAAAACATTTTAAAATATCAAGATTTTCCAAGAAAGTAAGACTGTAATAAGAATACTTTCTCATGCTTACAAAATTGTTTCCAGTTTACAAAGCACATTTATCAACACCATTGCATTTAAACCTCAGAAAAATATTTCAACCTGGTATTTTTGGTTTGTTGAAAAGAACAAAGCTAGCTCAACATTTTACTC